CTCGGAGGCTGCATTTGCTGGTATGTAATATAGGGATGCTGTTACTAGAGTAGCATTGTTGTGAGGCTTATGTGAAATCACATGTACAGAGCTCCTGGCACATAGTAGGTCCCTGCTGTGTTAGATGTTTTTCCCTGACTAGGGAACTCTGACAGGTATCTTTGTGTGCGCCTTTTGGTACAACTGCCTCTGCTTTTCCTGAGGACAGATTCCCGCAGTGGAACTGCAGAATCAAAGGCTGTTCTCCTGTTAAAACCCTGACACAGAGTCCAAGCTGCTGTCCAGAAACAAGCTGACTGCATTAGGTATCTGTTGCCATGTAACAGATGGTCACAGACTTAGTGGCTTAAAAGGACACACACCTGTTTTCTCAGTGTGATGGTTAATTTTGGGTGTCATCTTGATTAGATAGAGGGATGCCTAGATGGCCGAGGAAGCACTGTTTCTGAGCCTGTCTGGAAGGTGTTTCCAGAGGAGAATGGTGTGTGAGTTGATAAACCAAGAGAGAAAGATCCACCCTCAACACGGGTGGCACCATTGGAATGGCTGTGGGCCCAGGTGGAAAATGAAAGGTGGGTATTTGTTCTCTCTCTTTCTCTCAATTTCTTCCTTCCCCTCCCACCTCCCCTCCGTCTCTCTTTGCCCCCCACCCCGGGATGGGACATCCTTCTCCTTCTGTTGTTAGACATCAGGATTCCAGGTTCTTCAGGCTCTGGACTCTGAACCTTGCGCCATGGGCCTATCAGAGGCTCTCAGGCCTTTGGCCTCAGTTTGAGGCTGCACTGTTGGTTTCCTCGGTTCTGAGTCTTTTAATCTCAGGCTGAGCCATGCTACCAATATCTCTGATTCTCCAGCTTGCAGCTAGACTGTCATGAGACCTCTCAGCCTTGTGATCATGTAAGTCAATTCCCCTAGTAAATTCTCTCTCATTATCCCATTGTTCTGTCTCTCTGGAGAACCCTCACTAATACAGTCACCATTTCTGTGCATTGGGAGCAAGAACACAGCCTGGCTGGGCTTCACTTTCTTTCATGATGATGCAGTCAAGGTGCCAGCTGGGGTTGGAGTTTGATTTGCAAGTTTGACCAGGGAAGGAGCCTCTTCCAAGCTTCCCCAGGTTGTTGTAGAATCCAGTTCATCTGGGGCTGCCCGCTGAGGGTCTTGGTTCCATGCTGGTGCTGGCCAGAAGCCACCTTCCTTTTCTGGTGATGTTGGTCTTTGCAACATAAGCTCATGCAAACACAGAGGGCAGATATGCCAAGATGGCAAGCAAGATGGTAATTACAATGTCAGGTAATGTAATCACAGGCATGATGTCTGATCAGCTCGCCTGCATTCGCTCAGAAAGAAGCAAATCTCTGCTCTAACCACTCTCACAAAAAGGCAGATCCTATGAGGGTGGGAATACTGGCAGATTGCACTGGGGGCCACTGCTTTTTTTCTTATGGATTGTACCCACTGTGTCCCTATCTGAGATGTCTTTGCTGTATATTTTCTTCTATTTCCACCGCTTTACTTTTTATGTTTAAGTCTGTGATTCATTTACAGCTAATTTTTGTAGATGGAGCAAAGCAAGGAGGGAGGTTTATTTTTACTTTGCATATGCTATCCAATTGAGTGAGGCAGTTTTAGTCAAAGAGCACAGGATGGAAAAAGCAACAAGCAGGACGATTGCAGCTCTAGTAATAGTGTGCTACCTGGGAATGCTGACTGTGTGCGAGGCTCTGGGTAAGTGTTTACCCGCATTCTTTCATTTGTTTGTCACAATGGCCTGATGGAAGTGGAACCAGAGGCATGTCATCTCAACACGACACATTTGATAAATTAAAACCACCCTTGACAGATTGGCAGTGCTCCATGAGATGTTTTTTAAAAAATTATCGAAGGTGTACAATACACTGTCATTATGTAAATAGGGATGTGCTGACACACACACACACACACACACACACACACACTCGTAGAGCTACATTTGTTTGCATAAAATATGCATAAATATCTCTGGTAAGATACAGATTGCTAAGTGTGGTTCATATGACATTTACATCTCTTTGCCCTTTTATTGGTTCATCTTTTTTTACCTCCACATTTTCACCTGTTAATTGGAGAAGTTAATATCCCTGCCTTGTAAGGCTGTTGTGAGGATTGAGACATTGTATATAAAACACTCAGAACGGGATCCTGCACCCAGAGAATGCTCAGTTGATGCTATTATCATTATTTTTTTCATAGAAATAACATTGGGAAGAAATGCACCTGATACACTGATGTAAGTTTCTCTGGTTGTAGGATAATAGCTGAAGTTCTTTTTCCCCCAAGATTAAAAAAGTAACATGGTATTTTTTTTCTCCTTCCCTTTTATTGGTACATTTTAGGTATACAGTATGTTTACATTTATCATTGGGTGCTTGTACCTGTACATGATGTATCTTGGTTATTTTTTTCCCCATTACCTGTGCGCCCTTCACCCCCTCCACCCTTCCCTATTTACTTAGATTTCATTTCCATTTTTTTTCTTTTCTCATAATTTTTCCTTTCCTTCTTTTCCTTTCCCCTTCCCCTCCCTTCACTCCTTCGGCTTTGGACCTTTTTTCCTATTTCAAATTATCAATTATTCATTTTAATCATTTTAACCCTTGTTTACGCTATCAGTTTCTCACACTAGTGAAACTATTCAGTATTTACACATGTGTGTCCTGTTTATTCCACTTAAGAGTATGCTGTTTTTATAATAAACACTTCTGCTCCTTCCCTGCTCGATGACCCAGTCGTCTCTGACTGCAAGTTCTCTGGGGGATTCTGTTCAGACTATAAGTGATAGCCCAGGCTGTGCAAGGCCAGCCCTGTCTGGCCTATGTCTAGACACTTTATTTCCCTCGCCTGCTGTAGAATCAAGATACTACTTAACACTGGAAAAATATTCCCGAACCAAACTCCAGGCTCAGGTGCCACGATGTGCTAGTGGAGTCCATCATTTGTAACCAGGGCAGCCCTCTGGGGGGTTTGTGTATGACTGGAGGCTGTGCCTGTGTGGGGCAGAGGTACCTTCTCCTCAGCTTCGTTGTGCACAAAACAACAAAATCTCCAGGTCTAGGGAAAAGAGCAGAAGTGGGTAGGGGAGGTGGTTAATGTGCTGGCATTAATAGGCATCAGTTAGGCCCCTTTTCAGAGGGAGATGGATGGCCAGAGAAGTCTCAAACTTTGACACAGGTTGGGGAGGTGGAGACACCTGGGTGAATTGTTGAAGTCTCTCTGGAAGCTATTTTGCCTTGATGCCATGGAACTATTGAGGAAGCTGTCCTGATTTGCTCTAGGGACATTGGCTGCCGGGTCTCTTCACATTGGATGCACAGATGTCATTCTAGAGAGGAGTGGTGAAGGTGTGGCCAGGTGTCCTGCAGCTCCGCCTCAGAAATCCATATTTATTTGGCACAGTTTTCCCCCAAGCCTTACTTCATGGGCCTGCTCTTGACTTTTCCATTGTCTTCAGTAGCAGAGTGCAGACCAGACCCTACTTTGAGGGATCAGGTGAACCCGGGTTCAAATTTCTGCTCCTTTAGTGACTCTGCCTAAGTTACTTTAGCTGCTGCATTTGTCCATTTTTCACTGCTGCAATGAAGTACTTGAGTCCGCCCAGTTTCTAAAGTGAAAAGGGTTCAGGAGCTCATGGTTCTGGAGGTTCGAGGGTGTGGAGTCTGCATCAATTAGCTCAGCTCTGGTGAGGGCCCTCTTGGCCACATCACATCATGGTGATGGCAGTGTTGGCAGCTCATGGGGAAGAAAATGAAAATGTCTCCAAACAGAAAGGCAGAGGGCTGGGCAGGGCTGGGCAGGGCTGGGCTTGGTCCTTCTATACCAGCCCTCTTGAGAAGACTGGGGCTGCGGCTCTGTAGTAGAGCACTTGCCAGGCACACACAGGACCCTGGGTTCAATCCCCTGCACCACAAATAAAATCCCCAAAGCCCTCTTGGGAGAATGAAGTCAGGGTACCATGAGCTACCTTAATCCCTTCTGAGGGCAGGGCTGCCAACGACCTACGAGCTCCCGCTGGGTCCCGCCTCTTGAAGGTCCTTTCACGTTGCCATGGCCACACTGGGGACCGAGCTTCCAACAGAAGGACCCAGGGCTGAGCCACATCCAAACCTTAGCGCCTCCCTCAGCCTTGGTGTCCTCATCTGTACATTTGAGTGACCGTGGGTGCCTGCCTAGTTAGGATTCATGGAATGAGGCAGAATGGTGGCCTACTAGACATTCACATCTTAATTCCTGAAACCAGCGATCAGCTTGCCTCACAGGGCAAACAGGACTTTGCAGGTGTGATTCATTTAAGGATGTCAGGCTGAGAGAGTTTCCTGGATGGTTTGATGGTCAATGTGACCTCAGGTACTTGACAAGAGGGAGGGAGGGAGAGAGGAAGAGGATGCAGGTGACGCTAGAAACTGGAAAGGGTCCTCTCCTAGAGCCCCCAGAATGAGCTCGGCCCCGTGACACCTTCACATAAGCCCAGGGACACTTGATCTCTCCCTCTGGGCCTCCAGAACTGTAAGGGGACAAATTTGTGTTGTGTTAAGCCACTGCATTTATGATCCGTTGGCATGGCAACCCTAGGAAACGGGCACAGGATTGCTGTGAGGATGAGATCTCACCAACAGGCCAAGGGTACAGGGGAGGGCCTGGGTGAGGACGAGAGGGGGCTACTTGAACATCCTGGTATGCTTAGAGGTTTTATGTCAGCACTCAACAAATGGTAGTTATCATCAAATAGCATTATTGCGATCTGCTTCAGTTACAGTGCAGAATAACATATGCTTCTTTCCTTTTCTCTTTCCCCAGACCACTGAGTTGCCTGGTGCAGGCTGGAACCTTGTCCTATTCTTATGGTATCTTTAGTGTTGGGCATGTAGTAGCTGCTCACTAAATTGGTGCTTGCCAGGTAGAACTGAGATATCCTTCTTTCTGTGCCTGTAACGGGTGGAGTAACTGTCTCATTTTTTTTCTAGGCCTCACTTTTTCCCTCTGTGAGACAACAAGCTATGGTTTCTTCCAGCCCAGTGGTTCCAGTGCCTTCACCTCACTTCCACCAGCCCCTGCTGAGCCACAGGGCAGAGAAGGATCGACAATGTGTCACAGTCTGTTGTTGCCGGTCCTGCCTGGAGAAGAGGGTTCCTGTGCCCCAAAGGCTGGCAGTGTCAACACAGCATGACCTGGGAAAGCCGGCTGAGTCTCCCCTCCTGCATGGTTTGTGATGTTCAGAATCCGTATCAGGGACGCCCAGCCTGGCCTCCGGCCCTGGCCTTGGAGGGCTGTGGGGAGCTGGCTGAAGGCTGCTGCTGGGTGCTGATGTGGCAGTTCTGATGTTAACAATGTGTGCAGATGCCAGTCTTTCCAGATGGCCATAGGCTTTGCGGGGCCGGGGGAAGAGCCTGGCAGGTATCTGCTGTCCTCGGTGCTGGAGCAGTCAAGAGGTTGTGGCAACAGAGCCAGGCATGGGCTGAAGGCCTATGCCTTGCCAGCTGTGTCACCTTGCTGGGTCAAGCTCTGAGCTCCCGAGTCACATTTTGTGCTGGCTGGAGCTGATGTTTGCTGCCTGTTTCCTGTGGGCCACCGAGGGCTCTGCTGTGCACTGCCCCCGAGTGCAGACCTCCTCTGCAGGTGGAGAAACTGAGGCTCTGTGAAGATTCTGACTGTGTCCGAGTCCAGCCTAGGAAACTATGTGGGGCTGGTGTGAACCTGGTGGGCTGCCCCAGAGCCCAAGTGCTAATTGTGGACCCCGCAGCCTCTCTGACAGCGACCACATCTGCCTGCCAGGAATGCTGTGCTAATGGAAGTTGATGGCTGTGTGGTGCCAGGTGTCCACGTTCGGTAGGTGCTGCTTTATGATCGCTGTCATTGTCACCTCCACCGCTGTCAGCCTCACTCCTGAGCTCTTTCCTTCCTGCTCTGACCTGCAAAAGTCAGACATAGGCTGTTAAAAATGTGCATGTATATTTAATGATTCAGTGGTTTTAATGTATAAGACAAGATTGAAAAATATTTACATTTAAAAAATGTATTACAGTAAAAGACACATTGCCATCAGTTCCCACTCAAACTATTCCCTCTTGCTTTGAACACACTTACTTATCCCATTGATCATGCCACTTTCTGGAGCAGTTCTGGATGTCCTCCTTTGTCAGTGTCTGTAGTTGTTCTGTCATAGTGACCTTAATGTCCTGAACCTTTCATAGTCATCTCGACTGTGGGAAAGGTCAGTAGTCACACAGTGCCAGGTCCAGCGAAGGCAGTGCATGAGGGGACATCGTGAGGTATTTATGAACCTGCCTGTCCATGGGATGACACTCGACAGTAGCATTCACTGGGTTTTTGATCGCACCTTGTGAAGAGACTCACAGAAGAGAACTTCCTGATCACACCCCCTGTGCACAGAATTGTGCAACCCTGATCATGATCCAAGTTTAGATCATTCTGTCAACTCTCAAAGCAACCTCCTGCCCATTTACTGTCATCCCTCAGCGTCCCTGTCCCTGTGCAGTTGCTAATCTTGTCTGTCTCATCTGTCATTTCTGGACCTTTAATGTTAGCAGAATCTATTAAATGTGGTCTTTTGCTATGGACTTTTTCCACTTAGAACAATGATTTCAAGTTAATCTGTATTGCAGCATGTATCATCACTTCATTCCTTTTCGTGGCTGGATAATATTCCTTTGTATGGGTAGACCATGTTTTTTTTTTTTAATTTTATTTTATTGGTACACTTTAGATATACAATATAATGACATTCATTATTGGAAATTTGCACCTTTACATAATCTCTCTTGGTTTTTATTTTTCCCCATTCCCCTGCCCTCCCTTCAATCCCTCCATCCCTCCCTATTCACAAAGACTTTGTTTCCATTTTTCCATTTTCTCATATTGATTCCATTCCCTTCTTTCCTTTCCCCCACTCCTCCCACTTCCCCTTCCCCTTTGCCCCTTTTCTTCCTATTTCACATTATCTATTGTACCTTTTAGTCCTTATTTACACTATCAGTTTCTCCACTAGAGAAACTATTCAGTATTTACACATGTGTGTCCTATTTATTTCACTTAAGACTACTGCCTCAATGTGCATCCATTTAGCTATAAATGTCTCTAATTTCTCATTTTTGATGGCTGAGTAATACTCCATTTTATTAAAAAACACATTTTCTTTATCCAGTCTCCAGTTGATGGGCATTTGGGGCTGTTTCCAAGTTTTAGCTATTACAGATTGTGCTGCTATGAACATGGGTGCACATATATCACTGTGGTATGATTCTTTTAATTCTTTGGGGGAAGATACCCAATAGGGGAATAGCTGGGTCAAATGGGACTTCCAGTCCCAGTTCTTTGTCCTAGTTCCAGTCCTAGTTCTATCTCCATACTGATTTCCACAGTGCTTGCCCCAGTCTGCACTCCCACCAGCAGTGGAGCAGGGTTCCTCTTTCCCCACAGCCCTGCCAGCATTTGTTATTGGTTGATTTCATGATAGCAGCCATTCTCTCTGGGGTGAGGCGGAATCTCAGCATTGTTTTCATTTACATCTCTCAAATGACCAGCGATGTTGAACATTTTTCATATGTTTATTTACCATTTCTACTTCTTTGTGTGAGAAATGTCTGTTCATTTCAAATGATGCCCATTTTTGGATTGGGTCTTTAAATTTGGGAGGTCTGATCTTTTTAAGTTCTTTATAGATTCAAGATAGTAGACCTTTGTCTGAGGAAGAGCAGGTGAAGATTTTTTCCCACATTATGGGTTGTCTTTTCACTCCGTTGGTGCTTTCTCTTGCTGTACAGAAGCTTTTTAATAAGAGATCCCACTTGTTGATTGTTTGTGCTGGTACATGGGCAACTGAGGTTTTGTTCATAAAATCTTTCCTACACCAATGTCTTGAAGAGCTCTACCTAACCTCTGTTACAGCCGGTTCAGCATTTCTGTTTTTATATTTAGATCTTTAATCCATTTTGATTTTAGTTTAGTGCATGGTGAGAGATACAGGTCTAGTTTTAATCTTTGGCAAGTTGAAACCCAGTTTTTCCAGCACCATTTATTAAAGAGGCTATCTTTCCTCCAGTGAGGGTGTTTGGCTCCTTTGTCGAAGATGAGTTGGCTGAGTATGTCTGGAGTTGTTTCTGCATCTTCTAATCTGTTTCTGCATCTTCTAATCTAGACCATGTTTTATTTATCATTCATCAGTTCATAGGCTACAGGGTTGTTTTCCTGAAGAAGAAAGTGAAACTCAGAGAACTAAAACACTTGCTCAGTGTCACATGGCTAATGAATGGTGGAGGTAACATTTGAAATGGTGTCTCTCTGATTCTTAAAAATGTCCCATCCTATCTCCCACATAAAGCTATTTCTAGCCTATACAAGTCAGTTAGTATTGACAGGTCTTCTCTTACATGGTAGTCTTGCTTTAGGCTCTTGTTACTCCAACATGTGGAACCAATCATACATTCAAAATGTGGCTCTGGGGGCTGGACAAACCTGTGTTTGAATCCTGGCTCCTCTACTAAATAGCTGTGTGATACTGATTCACTTAATCAACTTCTCTGAGCCTTGGTATCCCCATCTGTGATGAGGGTAAATGAAGTATTCTTCTCTCTAGGATTGATGTGAAGATTCAAAAAGGTAATGTTCCCCATGTGCCTGTGACAGTGTAAGGATTCAGCACATAATTTAGCCATTGCAGGCCTGGGTTTCCATCAGAAGACTCCTACTAGCCCTTCCTGCAGATGAGGAAACTGAGGCTCAGAGAGGGAAGTAACTGGATCAAGATGTTTAAGCAGGCTAGAGGCAAGATTGGTGCTGGATCCCAGTGTATTGGTTCCTGGCCTAAGCTCTTTCCCATCTACCACATGGCAGCAGTTTCTCTCCAGCCTAAGGAATCTTACTCCAACTTGGGAAGGTCCCCTGCAATGGAGAGAGAGCATCCCCAGCCTTCATCTTCTGGAATCTCGCCAGGGATGTAATGGAAATGGGGCCTGGGGGTTAGCTCTCTCTTTTATTCTAAGATGATTACATTGTGTAGGAGATGGAGAGTGGCAGCAGCAACTCCCAGGTCTCTAATGGATGGGGGAGGTTTTCACTTAAATGGCTATGCAAGGTCAGGTCTTTGGAGTCCAACTGACTGGTGCAACATTGTGACCTTATGAAACTCAATAAGCAGAGGCATTTCTCTCTAGTGCGGCAATCTTAATAACTGTGCAGATAACCCAGCTATATATCTTCAAACCCTCGGTTGGTTCCTGATGGGTTTGCCACACAAAATAAGCTCTGTGCTTGGGGGAAGAGATTTTTTGGCAGGGTTCATTTATTCATTTACTAAATCAACAAATCTTTATCACATACCTACAGCGTGTCATGCAGTCATCTAAATGCCAATGATACATGTTGGATAGGGTGAATACAATCCCTGTCCACAACAATTCTCAGTGTATTCAGTTGGAAGTAGCAGAGAACTCTAAATTGTTGGCTTAAAAAGATAGAGATTTATTTTTATCTTCTAATAAACATTTTGGAGGTAGGCTACACGAAGGTGGGGCAACAGTTCAACAGTGGTGTATTAGTCTCTTTCCTATTGCTAGGACAAAATTCTTGACACCCACAACTTAAAGGAGGAGAGGTTTATATGGCTCACAGTTTCCAGTGGCTTCAGTACATGATTAGCAGTCTCCAAGACAGAAGCAGCATGGTGGAAGGGACTGGCAGAGGAAAGCTCTTGTGTCATGGCAGCCAGGAAGCAGAAAGGAGGGAGGAGCTAGGGACAAGAATATATCCCTCCAGGTGACCCACCTTTTCTGACCAGGACCAGCCCCTACCTCTTAACAGCACCTTCAGACATTGAACTCATCAATAGATAAATCCACTGATGAGTACTGCATTCCCATGATCCAGTCACCTTCCAAAAGGCCCACCTCTAATACATGAGACTTTTAGGGATATTTACATCTAAACCATAACAGGTGTTATCTGGGACTCAGGCTCTTTGCTGCTTTCTGGTTTTGCCACTCACAAGCAGGTTTATTCTCGTGAGTATCACATGGTAATTGTATTTCCAGATATCACCTACACATTCCGAGTGGAGCAAAGGCTTCTTTTCCGAGGCCTGTCATTTTTTTTGAGGGAAGTCCTTTCCAACACTCTGTTTTTACCTCAATTGAGAATTATGTCATGTGGCTACCACTGGCTTTAAGGTGAAATGTGAAAAGGGACTGTGAATCAAAATGGTGTTGTGTGAGTCATCCCATAGGATGTGCCTGAATGAGGGTTATAGCTCACAGGAGCACATGGATGTGCAGCAAGTAGCTTCATCATTAAATATTCATTAATTGCCATGGTCTCTGTGAAGGAGTAGAAATGTTAAAAAATATGCCTTAGATTGAGTTTCTTTTGAGGTAGACCCAGAGATGAGGATTTAAGGGCAATAATTTTATTTGAATGGTAATATAGGATGTGCTGCTTGAGAATAGGGAAATAAGATGGGAAAAGGAAAAGGGAAGAAAACCAATATAAGATATGCTACTTTTGGTCCTTTAAAGATATTTATTAATTTATGTACGATGACACAAAATCACAGGGTATTTTCTGTAGATTCATATTATTTCAGACTGTATAAGTTGTGCTAGTTCCACTTCATAGAAGATACCATGTATTAAAATTGCAATGTGCTCCACAAAAATTCCTTTCCACTGATAGTCTGTTTTGGCTTATTTTCACATAGAACTTTAACTCACTTAGTTTCACATTGGTGCACAGAACCCTGGGCCTGGTGGCACATTCCTGCAATCCCAGCACTGTGGGAGGCTGAGGCAGGAGAATGAAGCCCAGCCTGGGCAACTTAGTGACTTAGAGAGACCCTGTTTCTAAATAAAAATTTAGAAAGGGCTGGAGATGCAGCTCAGTGTGAAGGTCCTGGGTTCCATCCCCAGTGATAAAAAAGTTTGTGTGTTGTGTGCACAGAACCAAGGAACTGGTATATGCCATACCCTGAATTCCTGATTTTGTGTTCTCCCGGAGTTGATGAACCGTCATCAACTCTTACAA